CCGCCCTGCGCCTCCGCACCCTTCATCATGTCCTCTTTCTTCTCCGGGATGGGCCCCGGGCCTCCCAGCATGTGGGCGCGCATGGTCTCGAATTTGAGGACACCGCAGGCTCGCGCCATACGCTTCAGCGATTTCTTGGAGAGGCCGAGCCGCAGCAGGGGTTCGATATCCGCGACCTCCCCCACAGTCCTTGCGTTGACCAGCTGGCGCTCCTGGCCCTCAACGTTGTTGTCGAGCAGGGGGTCGCTATCATCACCAGGGGGAGGGTCTGCGGCGCCAGGTCCATCCTCGAGGGGCGGAGGCGGCGCGCGGGGCGGCCCCGGCACCACCTCCACCGCCATCGGGCGACCGACCTCCTGCGCCACCGTCTCCGTGGCCGGGGGGGCGCCCACGCTCTCGGGATCGATGCCCACCCCGACGCCTTCCGTCGCCCTCCGCAGGGCTAGCAAGCCGTCATTGGAGAGCGCGTGCCCCACGAGCACGTCCATGCCCTCCTTGATGCGGTCGAAGCTCGCGCGGAACATCGCCACGCGCTTGGCGGCGTGGTCGATGGAGCCAGCTCCCTTGTTCTGCCGCGCTGCGCGCGCCACAGCCTCGTGCTCGGTGATGCCCTGCGCCGCCGCCACGCAGTGCGAGCACGTGTACAGCTTGCATTGGCCTTGTACACCCTTCCGCAGCATGGGGCACTGCGGGTTGTGCTCTGAAGCTTCGGTGTAGCGGCGCATTTCGCCGCAGTCGAGCTCGTCCACGTACTCCACCATCATGATCTTCCAGTCATCCAGCTCCGCGCACTCACGACGCCAGCCCAGGCGCTGCGGCGGGACCCAGTACGCACCCATGCAGTGAACGTAGCCCGCCCCGACGTAGTCCACGTCCGTCATCATCTCAGCGTCCTCGAGCTCGGCGGCCGCGCCGCCGCTCGGTGGGGGGGCTTTGCCGCAGGCAGCCTTGTTGCTGCGACGGCGGTGGCGTTTGCCACCGTGCCCGCTGAGGGCGCCCGTGGTCGCTGCACTCGGAGCCTCACTGGCTGTCTCATCGTCCATGAGGCGGTCGCCGTCGGCGTCGCTGCGCGCGCCTCGCCCGCCGTGGCCGCTCACAGCCTGCTCCCGCAGCTGGAGGTTGTGGAGCGCTAGGGCGATCGCGTCCAACCCGCGGCGCTGCCCCGCGGTGAAGTTGGAGTAGGTGGCCGCCGCTGCCAGGGCCGCCTTCGTCACTGGCACCACCGCCGACGTGGGCGTCGCCGAGGGCTCAGCAGGCGCCTTGGCCGTCGCCGTGGGGGCACCGTCAGAGGCGCCGTCAGAGGCAGCGGCGCTGGGGGCGGCCCCCGTGCCGCTGCCGTCGGCACCCTCGGCAGGCGTCGCTGATTCCGTAGGCAGTGTCGGCGCCGTCCGAAAGGTCGCCGCCTCCGACATCACGTAAAACCCCTCGTCCGAGATGTCGCTGCTCTCCGACGCGCCCACCTGCTGGCCAGGGCGCGGCGCAGGCCCCGCTTTGGGAGTGGGCGCGCCGGCCGCGGTCGAACCGCTGGCCTTCGCGCGCGCCTCGGACCTCGCCTTAGCCTTCGCCGCCAGCGCCTCGCGACGGGGCGCCGCATCGTGACTGGGCGAGTCAGCATGCGTCACTGCAGGCCACGGCATCGGCGCGGGCTTCGAGAACTTGGGCGCCATCACTCGGTCGGAAGGATGGCACGGGAGGTGCAGCTCAAGAGATCGTGCGAAGCAAAACTTCAAGAGCCAAACAGCTGCCGAGGGAGGAAGGGGAGGAGGAGAGGCTGCACACCGAACCAAAATGGGGCGGCCGACTGCCAAGGTGGAGCGACAATGAAACATGGGAACTAAAGGTTGTAACCAGCGGCTCCAGGCAAGCGGAGACCGATCCTTGAGCAGGCTGAAAACGGCCTGACCCCCGTTCGGGACCCTGGGCGGGCAGGAGGGGGGGAAGGGGGGCGAGGAAAACACGTCGCGGGCGGGCGACAAAGCGGACGGCGGGCCGCCGACGGTCCCAGGACCCGCGGGGCGCCCCCGATCTTGAACGCCTCTTGACGCCTCTTTTGCATGTGGCCTCGGGCTGATGCTGCTGGCGGAACGATGGCCCATCGCGGACGGGTTGAGAGAGCAGCTCAAGACTATGAGCATGACGAAGGTGGCATGGCGGGAGCACAACGCGCACAAGGCTGGGTAACTGCACAACGCAGCATGCAAAGCTGACATAACAAAGCAAGAGCGCATCGTGCACACCATGAAGGAACTATACAGTACAGTACACACAGCTGACTTGACCACGGCTGCACAACTGATCAGGGCAGCGGGTAGGCAAGGGGGGGAAGGGGCAGGGAGCACGCACGTGTGGGAGGGAGCCACATCTAGTCAAGACCGGGCACTCGGGGCGACCCCGGCGCCCAGCCGACTACGTCTTCCGTCGCCAGGGCGACCTGCTCAGCGATTTGGCCATGCAGGGCGTTGGCCACTGCCGAGCGCAGGGACGAGCGCGCTGCGGTCCGTTCGGCCTCGGGCAATTCCCCTACGGCACGGCGCAGCCACGTCTCCGTCTCTGCGCTAGGAGGAGTCGGCTTGCGGGGGGGGTCGGGCGCGCGGGAGGCGGGCGGAGGCGTCGCCGGCGCCCCGCGCCCCTGGGGGGGTCCATGTTGGATTTCCCAGGCTGCGCCAAGCGCTCACATTCGCGCAAGCGCACCCTAAGAAACTATGATTTGGATCGGAACCGGGCGACAACGGGCATGGGGCGCCTGTCAAGGCTGCTTCTGGGAGCGATTGCTGCTGGCTCGACACGCGCGATATGCATGTGGCGACTTTTGGAGGACGGGCGCTGCGCCGTCCAATCCAACGCGGCAATGGCGCGGTCCGGGGCGCGCGGCCGTCGCGGCGCACGGCGGTCGACGTGACCGCATGGGGCGCGCGATCGGCCGCGCGGCATTTGCGGGCCATTCGGCCGACGCTGCCGGGTCGCCCTCAAACAGCCCGCCAGGAATACGCAAATGCGCAATGCGCCAGCGCGCCGCCAGGATATCGCCCTGAAAACAACCTGTTCACTCTGAGCGCCGGCTGCGCGCCTCGCTGAACCAGCGAAGTCGCGCGGCGCGCCCGCGCCGCGGACCCGCCGCAATGAACTCGCGGGAAAAAGGCCTCTCTCCATGGGTTCTGGCACCGATTCTGGCCTACTTCCCCGTTCTGGCCGATTCTGGTTCCATCGCCGATTCCTCCTTTGATTCCGTATTGATTCCGTACTGATTCTTTTGATTCCGCTAGAATCAGGGGTCGCAGTTGTGCCGATTCTGTATTGATTCTGTACTGATTCGTACTGATTCCTTTGATTCCCCTGCGCCCCGGGGACCATCGGGCTGCGGCCCGAGCCCCCGCCTCGGCGGCGCGGTTTTTCCAGGGGCGCGGAAGAGTTTTGAAGGGGGGGGGCGGGGGGGGAGGCGGAGCGATTTGCGGGGCGCATCGGGCGGTCGAGCCACAGATTTCCGGGCCCAGGGCGCACGCCCAACATGGCAGGCGCAGGCGCGCGCGAGTTCTCGACCGTCGGCGCATCTGTAAGTTCATGCCCCGCCCCGCGCGCGGGGAGGGAAACTTGCGTTGCGGTTTCCAATTGAACGCGCGGCCGTCGCAACTGCGTCGCATTGCTCAGCGCGCAAAGCGCGCGAGCAGCATGGGGGGCTTTGCGTTCTCGCATGAGAAGTGCGCGGAACCGAACCGAACGGTCGGCGGCGCCCGCTCCTGCGCCGCGCGCGAGGCCATCGCGTCAGCGCGGGGGGCTACAAGGGCCTGGGCCGTCGCCCTGGGGCGCGGGCACAGCGAGAGGCCCGCGCGGGTCTCTCGCGCCAAACATGCGCAACAAGGTCGGCCCGCCCGCCGGCTGGCGCTCGCGGGCGACGCGACGCCGGCGCCGACTGCGAAGCCGACTGGGCCCAGAGGATTCCTGAGAGCCCCGGGAAAGGGCAGCGGGCCGCGATGGAGGGTGGGTGACTTGATCGGCGCGGTCGCTGGCGCCCCGCCCGCTTCCCACCCCCCCCTGCAAAGCAGCCGACCTCCTCCCTACTCCTGCGCCCCAGCGGCCATTGACATCGAGAACAAAGGGCACCAGGCCAGAAAATGTGCATCTACGGTGCTTCACTTTCTCTCTGCGCTGCAGGGATGCCTGATGCGGCCGCCCCGCCTGGGCCACGGCGACCTCGCCCGCCAAGCTGATGTCGAGACACACCCGGCCGTGGAGGCCTCGATGGTAGACGACGTCCAGTGTGACCGCGCCCTGTTCTTCCGTGTGCCACTCTGGGGCGACCTGCTCCACCAGGGCGCGATGGCCCACCCCGCGCAACCAGAGCGCCACAGCATCTCGAATGGCGTTGTGGCGGCGCACCGGGCCACCTCCCCGGGGGCAGTTGAGCGCGCGAACGCAGCGGGCGCCCACCGTGCGGCCACGCGCCGGGCCGGCCTGCGCCACCGCGCGAGCGGGCGCCGCCAGCCGGTTCTGGCACGTGCACTCGGACTGCAGCAGCGGCAAATGCATGCGCCTCTTGGCCGCAATGCAGAACGCGCGGTCGGCGAGGGGCGAAACCCCCTCGAAGTTATCCAACAAGGCGCCCGCTGAGCTGCCCGAGGCACTATGCACCGCCGCCGCCGCCGTCGCCGGCAGCGCGGCCAAGAACGTCTCGGTGGCGTGGCCCCGCACATGCTGGGTGTACGTCTTCTGGCCCTTGCCCCATCCGCCCTTCCAAGAGGCCCTGCCAACGGTCACCCTGGGGGCGACGGCCTCCTGCCAACCGCCCCTGCCCCGCGTCCGCTGCCGCGAGGGCGCGGCCAAGGCCCCGCCACCGCCG